GGGGGGGGGGGTAGTATGGGACCTCTCATTTAGAAGGAACATGCAAGATTGGGAGATTGCGGAGCTCCAAGGTTTGTTGACACTGCTATATGGGCAAGACATGCCCCAGCCATCTTATGATTCTTGGAGATGGGGTTTGCGTGGCGATGGTTTGTTCACCGTAAAGTCCTTTTAACAGAGTATGTTGGTGAGAGAGGAGGCCACTTTTCCATACTCCTCAATTTGGATTCCTAAGGCGCCTACGAAGGTGTGCTTTTTTGCATGGCTAGCGGCGAGGGGAGTGATTTTGACTGCTGAAAATCTGCGAAAGAGAGGAATTACACTTGTTAGTTGGTGCTACATGTGTAAAAGCTCAGGGGAAGAAGTTGATCATCTTTTGTTGCATTGCCCTGTGTCCTCGGCTTTGTGGAGGGCAATCCTGAATCTTTTTGGTGTTCAACGGGTGATGTCAAACACTGTAAAGGAAATGTTATATAGCTGGGCCGGTTTTCGTCGAAGAAGAAAGCAAAAGGCGTGGAAGTTCGCCCCGTTAGCTCTCAGTGGATAGTTTGGGGGGATAGAAATAGGGGAGCTTTTGAGGGGATTGAGTCTCCTTTTTCACATCTTAAGAATAGTCTTTTATCTTTGATCGCTTTTGGTGCACTCATATAGCCCCTACTTGTATAGAAGATTGGACGCCTTTTATAGAGAATCATGTACTGATGTAAATTCTCTACTTTTTGGTATACTTCCTGTATACGGGAGTTCTCTCCCTTTTGATTGATACAATTTACCTTATCAAAAAAAAGACATCAAGAGTTACATGGTCGAGCAACACACCTGAGATTAAGCATTTATCTAAATGATTTGATTACCCGAAAAGTAATTGACAAAAAAATTGGGATTAACTCCTAAAAATATGCAAACAAATGACTGCAGGATTTAGTGTTTAGGTGGTGATTGAGTAAATAGCATACCTCATACGGACATCTACATCAGCATCTGAATCCGTATCGCTGCTAGAATCCGCAAAATCTTCGGCTTACATGAGCACTGCAGTCAATTGATGCAGGATGCTGGGTGCTCACAGCACTAATAAAAAACAAGTTACACATTAAAAAAGGCCTTTAAGTATGCTTCGTCTAGCAGAAAAATATATTCCTTTTTTTTTGCCTTACGAGATTTCAGAGAGAAGAAGAAACCACAACTAAAGCTCTTTATTGTTTTGGAATTATCTGTGAGATCTGAATTAGAGATCGAGATCAGAGTTCAGAATGACCATGAAACTGACTGAAACAACTTTTTTTAAACAGGTAAAGATTTTTTAAATGTCAGCAACCAAACACTAAGACAGTGTTTGTGGAATACATGTTCCGGGATCCCCTTATACAAAAACAAAAAGAGAGGAATCCATCTGTACAGAGGAAAAAAAAACATATTCCTATAGTGAATTGATGTAGTCTAGCATGCTTTCATCCTTTACAATCTTGTATGTTGCACCCAAAAAGCCAAAAACCATAGACATCTGAACTTTAAAAACTGTAGAGGGTTCGCTTTTCCTTCAAAACACCTGGAATTCATTTCTCCCCACAAGATCCAACACATGCAAGCTGGCACCGTGTTCCATATTCTTTTCAGTGATTTACTGATCCCTTCACTGCCCTAGCTGTTCAGCACTTCACTTTTTTGGCTAACAAATGACAGATTGAACAGTTCAACAGTGGTCTAGCTACTATGCAGTTAGAAACAGATGGCTGCTGCTCTCCTCCTCCTTATTACACAAATATCATCTACTGCATAATTGGGGCATAAATCTACACAAATCGTAAAAGAAGTTAGGTAAAAGGCTAACTTATCAACTCCCCCAAACTTAAACTTTTGCTTGTCCTCAAGCAAATCAAACTACAAGCAATACTTCTCAAGAACTCTAGTACTCAGGTAAACAGTCCAAATAAAGCAACCAAACCAAGAAGCAAAAAGCACGAAACTTAAGACTTCGGTTGGCACCAACAATTATACTCAAACGCATGAACCTTCAACAACTTCCAAAGATCTCACTTTCCAAAACCAACACACAAGCACCAAGCTAGTCAAGCCATGACACTAAAGCTTCTAAAGTTACCTCTAATTCACAAGGCCACTTTCTTTTGTTCATGCGTCTCTGATTGAGAAAGAAACATCAATCACACCAGAGTTTCCATGTGGCTTCACAAAACAAGAGATGTTCCCACACACACTATGTGATATTTTCACAACTAATGTAGGTCCACCTAGTTCAAAATCATTTAGGACTTGCGGGAATATAACGTAGGCTTTTGGTTAGAGCTAGGACATTAATATAGGTAATAACCAATGAGTGACTACAACCTTCCTAAGCCACAACTTACTAATGCTGTCACCCTAAAGTTTCTTCATTTCCATATCAAACTTTGATGTATTTAACTGCACTATAAAAAGGGTGTTTTCACCAACATATTTGTGCTTTAATCTCCAAACTATGGGCTACAAAATTATCCAATAGCATGTGATTACTTCTTTATCGTCTACCTTTCATAGCACTACAATTTCAATACTTCAAAACACTTTTCTTTTTAAAATTCCACTCTTTATGCTCACTTTTCAACTTTATCACCATGTCAACCCTTTTATTTCACAACTCTCTCTCTCTCTCTGTTTTATATCCATTTTATTTTGTTTTTTCAAAGCTACTTTTTTCCCGTTTTATATTTTTCAACTCTTATTCACACTTCGTCTTCATGAGCCGAGGGTCTTTCGGAAACTGCCTCTCTACCCCTCGGGGTAGGGGTAAAATCTGCATACACACTCCCCTCCCCAGACCCCACTAGTGGGATTTCGCTGGGTCGTTGTTGTTGTTGTTGTATTGACACTTCGTCTTCACTTTTACCTTCTAATCAACTTCATTCAACTACCACAATACATTTTTCCCATTTCCTCCCAAAAACTTAGGCTAAAAGCCTAAATTATAGCTTCAAGAAGGTCAGAGCATCAAAAGAGGTTAATACAAAAGGGGAAAGGCTTGCAATGTGGTTGCCAATGAAAAGGCTAAAGGCTCAAGGGGGGTGACTAAGGTAATCGCGCAAAGGGTAGACAATTTAAGGCACAAGTGGTCCAAAGAAAGCCAAAAATCATTTTCTAAACCAAGCGCAACCTAGGATTTCGCCTCGAAACACACTTGGGGCAAGTTCTAGACCGTAATTGACACAAAAGAACTCAACAGAACCTCACCTCACATGCCACACGCAAAACTCAAGAAAGATGTATGTATCTAAAGACTAAAGCCCAATTAAAGCACATGAAATCAAAAATTTGCCATAGCCTAAAGACTATGGGTGTGTTTGGTATAATGGAAAATGTTTTCCAAGAAAATATTTTCTTGGAAAACAAGTAGTAATCTTATTCATTTTCCGGTGTTTGGGACGCAAATTAAGAAAAACGACTTCTCAAGAGTATTCATAAATAATTTAGATATAATAAACATGAAGTCATAAACTTTCAAACCGACAACCTTCCGAACCCACAAATTTCATAAACTTCCGAACCGCTAAACTTTCAAAACCGCGGAATTTCGAACCCGTAAACTTTATAATTTCTAAACCCGTAAACTTCCAAACACATAAACCTCCGAACTCATAATTTTGGAACTTGTAAAATTTTGAACCTTTAAATCGATAAATAAAAAAAATTAAAACTGAAAAATATATTTCAAAAAATATTTTTTTCGGGAGGGGGGGGGGGGAGGGGGGAGGGGGAGGGAGGAGGGGGGCAGGTGCGGGGTTGGGGTGGGTGGTGCAGAAAAACGAAAAAATAGAAATTTGAAATTGCAAAAAAAAAAAAAAAACTTAAGGTAAAAAAAATAATTT